CCACCACACTAAGAGAAAAGATAGTAAAAAATCGACCAAATTTGGAATGGTGTGTCCCAAATCTGTTACAAAACATGACTAAGTCAAACAACTACGAGGCATATTAACGCGTTAAGGTACTTGCGCGCGTATTACTTATTAGTACAAAAGTCTTGACGTCACTACTATAATGACGTAAGTTGATTTAAACTAAAGTAATATGTAAACGTTAACGTCTTGATATGTTGCAGCTTTTAAATCGGGTTTATTGTATCACAGCGAAAGATGTCTTCATTTTGTTAGTACGATTGTTAACTGCAGTACATGTTAACTTTAAGATGATTTTAACTATCAGTAAGACGTTATTTCTTTAAGTTAGTAGGAATATTAGTAAAAGGTAATACGTTGTTGCTTTTCTTAAATATGCGCGGTCTTTACTGCAATACGGCACCGACAGTTCCTTACTATGTAAGGTATTAACTTGATATGGTGTGTTATATTTTTAATATATATCATGTTGAAACTAATATGATCATTATTTCTTTTTAATATGATTTGTTTTTTTACTAATATGCAGCGTCTTAAAATTTAATGCGTCTTGTATTGGTAATTAATATTATGTGTACTGTCGGTTACATATTGTTATAACACAAAACGTTAGATTTACAGCTCCACATAATGTACAGGCTGGTTCAAAAAGTACTGCATACTAAAAAAATGTTACATCATACGAACAATTTTTTATCGTCTTTTTTTCGTCCGTAGAGTGTCGCAGTGTAAATAACGTAATGTACGTTCGTTTCCCTTCTGTTATTATTATGTTTTTTTTATTTTTAAATGTGCCAACAAAGACGAAAACTAGAGATGTGTAGGTAAATCAAAGGTGATATCTTTTTAGCATTTATTTAAAAAAAATAAATAAATTAAAACAGTTTTCTAATAACAACTATATGTAGGTACACCTACGCATCTTAAAGTATGGTAGTTAAAATTTAATAAAACATGAACAAATGAAAGATTCTTAATCTAGTAGCCATCTCAAAGTTACATACATTTTCCTGCGTAACTTGATCTTCGATAATTTCTTCTCCTACTTGGTAAAAATCTAAAGGTAAGGTGTTTTCGTTATTGTACCCTGTTGCTTCTAATGTCTTATGACTGATGATATCCAAGATATCGCCTTCTGAGAAGATCTGAAAGCAAAAAATTATAAATGTAAATTACACCGAAAAAGGTCTTTCGATACAGAACTTCGTTGTGTTTGGAGGCTTTAGATGAATTATTGCACACACATGTGGACGGGCAAAGAATACAAAACTATAAAAGATTTGAGGACTCTTATTAATAATAAAAGAAACCAAACAATTCAAACATACCTCTGGTTCAACATTAAAAGTATTAGTGGCTGGTTTTAATATTTGTCTCCACTCTTCTAGATGGCACCGAAACTTTACCCTCGCCCCTGTCACCGGAATCAATCGCTGCAAGTCCGTCCGCTTCCTGTACCAGCCTTAATGTAGCCAAGTCTTGTTCTTCTGAAATTATCATTAAAAGTATCAGATATTTGGCTTTCAAAAGTTATAGTTAACGTACAAATGAAAATTGAAAAGTCTAATGATCATATTCTGCTATAAAACCATTACTATTACACGATCTGACTCAATGAAAACAGTTTTACTTACCGAAAAATTTATCGATGTGGGACTGGAAGCCCCATTCACTTAACAACAACTTTGTCTCTTCGTCCATTAACTCACATAAGTTATAATATTAATTACTAAACAAAAATTTAAACCATGGTAATGGTAGGTATGATGGCACGAATTGAACATTGAAGAAAACTTCTAAACTTCTGAACTGCAAAAGTCGTAATGGAGGACCACGATTAGGTTGTGCATAATTGCAATAAGAAATCTGAATTTACCTTACTGGCGTTCGTTGTCTTTAAATAAAAATATCACATTTCACAGATAACGTGTATCATATCATAGAAAGTGCTATATTACCTAATTATAAATTGAGTTATGTTAATTTAGTTCAATGCGTATTATTAAAAGCTTTTTGTCTCAAGTCTCAAGACATCCTTTATGGGTCACAAATTCCTTATGAGGTAGGTATTTAGAGACTACAGTAAAGGGTCATAGCCGAAATCCAAAAACACTATACAAAATTATCTCATATTGTTGGCAAAAACGAATAAACAATGTTGTAATAAACAATAAGTATCTTATGGAATGCACATCCAAATTTATCTCATAGAGATTAATGCTGCTAGTTTTTATATTGTCCGTCCGTCTGCCTGCTTATCTGTCTGACGTATCAGAAGCCGTTGATTTAGGTACGTTAGTGATGTCATCAAGGGATCATTTCATAAAGACAGTATAAGTATTAATAAAATCGACACCTACTAAATTTGATACACTACAGCTCAATCGGTAAGATGTGGCGATCTTCTAATTATTGACATGCATCGTATGACGAGTTAATGTCGTCGTGTGGATATAGTAAGCATGCTGTGTTCTAAACAACAACACGTCATATTTAGGAGTGCATTCCAGTAATATCTTATGCCTATAACATGTAACAACTTTAGAGTTGAAACGGTACGTTTTCAATGAAATTATTTCATTCTAAAAATAAAATGGGTTAGGTTTAGTAGTACAAGAACAATATTGTATTTAACATAATACAATCGATTTTTCTTAGTGAAGTTTCGATCTACTTTCGCTAATTATTAATGTGAAAAGCCAACGCGTTTCTGGGATTAAAGAAGGCCGAACAATGTGGGCGCTAATATCTGTGTGTATTCAACCCCTTGTACAATTTATAGATTGAAACGTAAATAAGGAAAATTAAGAGTTCAGGGAAATGCTCAAAAAGAAAAGCAATAAATTCCCTAACTATTAACATTTAAAACCTGTCACCATAATTTAAATGTTAATAGTTAGGGAATTTATTGCGTCTTCAAGTTACCTAAGTAAGTAAATTAATTACATCTTTGTAAAGTTAATTTGTTATTGTTCTTACAGTTTATCTACTCTGATGAAGGACTAATTTAGTCCGAAATATTAGTACGTAAAAATGAGTTAAACCATACAATGCAGTTTTGATCTTTAACCAGGAAAAAAAATCAACAAATTTAAAATCAGCTAGCAAGATCGAAAAAGTCTTCTTGGTGCGTTAATTACAGATTTTCACGTTTGTTGGTTGAATTATTATTATTATGGCGCCTCATTCAAAGTAAAAATAGGACATATTTTTTGCCCTTTCCAATTTTCCAGTCGAAAACTTTTAGAATTGCTACTATTGTACTGAGTCCAGAGATGTCAAATTTCAGTGAAATCAGAATTTTATTTTGCAAACCACCCTCCCTGCGCCATGTAAATTCCCAATCCGCCCTTGGCATGGTCCAACCTCCTCCTATGGTAAAATAGTTCGTTTTCGAGTCACCAACCACCCCTTTGTCTTTTGGACATTAAACTGCCGTATTTGGTATACTCCGTAAAATATGTCATTCTCGAGGCATGTCAACAAGTAACCATACGTTTATGGTCATGCAACCAATTTTGCGGAACGCGAAGACGCATCTATCAGGCACATCTCATACACGTGAACTACTCATTTCCATAATGCAAATTCTGCAATTATAAGTGATCGCCTAAGAGCCAAGCTCAAAATTTTAAAAGACTAGGACAAGTGTGTGAAAGTCATATGCATTCCACTATCTACCAAACGGCTCAGTATATTCATTGAGAATGTAATGATATTCTTTGTGGATGTAACCTTGTCCAAACGCACATAAATTTCTTTGCGGAGATGCACATAAAAGGTTCGCAATCTCACAACATTACCATTGCGATTAAGAATTTGAAACATGTCACTTGCTCTTATTGTAAGTATCGTCTGTCGCTGTAACCACCTTTAATTTTCCACAAATTAGATTTTGGCCAGTTTCTGGGCGTCTGGATTTCAGGCGTCGCCGATAATTCTCAACGTTCCCGTGTTTTACACTCCGTTTCCATTCCATTACCACAGCAGTGCCTTGAAGATGGCTTACGATGCGAATCTAGAAGCACTGAAGCGACTTGAAGAAGCCCAGTCGGCGAAAATAGAGACGTTGGATGAAAAAATAGAAGGTGAGTGCTCCCATTTCTTCGTACAGAATTCTTTAGCGAGTTTTAGCCACGGAAGAGCAAGCAGGCGACGGTAGTTACAAGCCTGATAACTCAGGTGACTACGCCCCCGACGATTCGGGAGCATATTCGCCGGATAACTCGGGGGTTTACAATCCAGAAGCGAGCGAGTTGGATGAATCGGCAGCTCCAGAAGAAGTCAAGGTGGACAAGACCGTCGTCCACGCATCCACTGGCAATGCGTTGCTACCAGACGCCCTGTACTCCTTCGGTTACAAATTAGAGGATCAATCGCGCGACGAGTCGGCCAATGCCATGGGTCATGTCATCGGAAGCTACTCGTTTACCAATTTCGCCGGTAATCACGATTTGCACTACGAAGCCGGGCCGGGCATCGGATTTTTACCAACGTCGGGCTCACTGTCAAAACCGAACGGTCTTGTAGTTCATTAAATGTTTAATAAACTACCTACTTCCTGCTTTATGCGTACTACCTTCACCCGCGCGATTTACAATGCAAACCAGAAATATTTAAAACAACAGAAAACGATGCTTAATTGTATAATAAAAACGATCAAGGTTAATATCCAGAACAAGCTTTTGAAAAAATCGCCCGCCTAAGCTTGAAAAAGGTTGCGTCTGAAAGACAACACCTAAAATACCTGCGACGTCCCCATATTAAGAAATTCTTTTGTTTGTAATGATCTTGATGTAGCAGTTCCAGTATGCATATGTAACCTTGCAGAGAAAACGTGTGCACTTAGGAGATCTTAAATACGG